ACCACCACCACCATTTAATGTTGATTTTCTGATTTATTTTCTTACTCTTGTTCATGTATTTATGAGAAATACGTCTGCAATTGAGGGCTACCAGTGGGGAAAACAGATTTGATATTTAAGTCGTTATTGAGAAATTTCATTTAAACTTGCATTTAGGCATAAAATAAAAATGAAATTTGTTGTTTTATTGTAAGACGTTTTTTTATTCCATTTCGTGAACTTAAAAAACAATAATCGCGCCAATCATGAAAATACTGCGTTTATGCTCACTCGATGAAACAAAATTTCATCTTACACAAAAACAAACAAATATCCTCTATTTTTTTAGCAAGATGTGATTTCCGCCGTAAAACAATGATTAAAAAGAACACAAGAGAAAATATAAGCTTTAAGAAATACCAAAATGATTAATGCTATATTCAGGAAATAAAATTACAATCCGTCTAAATGTTCACCTCTATGATCTATCTGTAAACACTGGTAATGTGTTCCATTAAAAATCACACTGTCAAACTAATCAGCATGATTTCCCATGAAAGTTCTTGTTAAAGGACTAATGAACATAATAGGGAAAAATGAATTATTCAGGTAGGGCCATTTACCTGAAGTTCATAGTACAAGCATTCCCTTTCATTAGACTTTTGTATCAATTATACAAAACCGAGAAATTCTGACGTATTCTTCCTAGAAATTGTGGCATTAACTACAATTTTCAGCTACGTTACCCTATAAACGCTCGTGCCGTGAAAAAATGAAGTAATTGTAGGGTTGACCATTTTATCATTTTCAGTGCGTTTTTTGTTTTGTTATTTTTTTTTCAAGAAAAGAAAAACTGTTGTGTACATGGTACAAAACATATCTGTTTTGTTTTTTATGTACAATTTAATGATTAAGCTCTAAGCATGAGGTTCCAGATGGTCATATTATGTTCATCAGAATTATCACTAGTTTACAAGATGAAGTTATTCTTAATATTTTCTGTTTTAGCTCTTGATTTTCATACAAGGTTCCAGTTCCCCCGTTATAATAACAATATTAATTCATATCAATTCGACATACTTTTCCGAATAATTAGTAGGTGTGTTGATAAAAATTAAAGAAATAACGTATAAACTATTAAATAATTATAGACATGTCTAAATATTATAATACTGCATATTTGTTACGTCGCTTTTCATTGGAAAATCGTGATGTTTGTATAAACTGTAAAGGCTGCAAAGGTCAATTATGAAGTAATTGTTTATCTCTTTTTTGTGGTAATGATATTTTTTTCAAACATAAGATAATCGCTAGAATTCAAGATGGAACATATTTCAATATCAGTCATGTTTTGACGAATGTAAATTATTAAAACAATTTGATAGTGATTCGACAAATGTCTATAAAAACATACAAATGTAATCAAAATCAGAACAATGGTTTTCGTCATGATTTATTCGTGTTAGATTTTCATTTTGATGTCACGGACACCAAATATTGAATGGAATTTAAATATTATTTGAGACACTCTAAAAGGGGGTCAGGAAAATTTGTATTTCTGATATGGACCCTGTGGCTTGTGAGAGGTTATTACAAGAAAAGTACGTACACATGAACGACTGACACATAATCATCACCTTGGTTATATTGTGCTGTTGATGCTTATACTGTTACATACATACATATAGTTTCATATTTCTATTAATCTGCCAATATAACGGAAATTATTATACAGTAACATGATAGCATTTGTCATAATTCTATGGTGTATGAACAATTTGTATCTAATCATAAAAGTCTTTGTGGTTTTTGTTAATTTATCTGCTTTACATTTGTTATTATACGTAAAATTATACTCTCATAGAGATCAAATATGATAGAATACAGAAGAAATAGACACACACATTAATTGTACGTTTATTGAAAGGTATAGTGTGTATATTGCTTCAATAGAGTTTTATAGTTTCATCTAACTTACCCATTATTGCAACAGTAAGTAGTGCAATTGTCTAGATGCCTGTTTCACCAGTTTCAATGATTACTGCTAATATTTAAACAGATTTCTGAATATAGATCGCGCGCCACATAATGTTATGATTTTTCTATCATCAACATGTATCATAAGTTTAAAAAAGACATGCGTATCCTACAGATAAAATTTGAGATTACCGAGCTCGTTTTCCAGTTATCTTATTTTGATTTGAAAGCTTTGCTAATTCAAGGGCAGAAAACGTAACATTTATCTAACAAATAATTGTTTACTATTAGTTTATATCTTATTTTTTCATTGGTCACAATACAAAAATTAAATGGATTTTTTAAAACAATTTTGTTTACAAATTTAAATTTTTTAGCCAAGATAACTGAAAAAATGGAGCTCACCCAACCTCCCCCATGTTTTTCATCTTGCAAAATTTAAATTGATTTTATTATTCAATTTGATTTCTACCTTTATGACTAAATGTATAACGCCATTAACTCAATATTTGTATTTATCAATGTTCATGACCAAAGCATATTAATTAATGCATTAGATGTATAGAATGATAGACCGGTTATATCTCACAAAACCGCCATTCTACCATTACACTAAGGCAATTAAACAATGGAATATTGTCACGTGCTTTGCACATTTTAGCAGTAATGCTTGCATTTTAAATCTTTATAACTATAGATTATGTCATTCACCAGTATCACGTATACTTAATTAGGTTAATTAAATATGATACTGTACACTAACACGTACAATGTCACGTTATCTTTCTAATATAACATGTGTTATGAAAGTCATGGTTGTTCTAATATATTCAAATATTTGTAAGATTTCGTGTAACTGGATACGACGTTCATTAATATATACCGGTATTATATGCTCATCTATTCAACTCAATCTTCAATATTTAAAACTAAGTCCTTTTGTAACTTTATAAATAATTTTCAATAAATCATCGTTCTTCCCGAAATTTTTGTGGCGATGATTTTTATATAAATAAATGCAACAACAGAAATAAAATAATCATGTAATAACGTGGTGGAATTTGTCTAATACAACCCTTATTCTAATAGTTCATTTATAGTTTGATGAATTATTCAAAATATTAATAGGCCAGTTTAAATGACCAACTGATCAAATATTAAAGGATTATAAACAATTTTAGTTTTTATAAATACAATTTTATTTGGTATCTACAACAATCATTTGTGTGTTACACTCTCTTGAATTTCACTACATTCAAATTATCAATATCAAGAAAATAAGACTGCGAGAACCACTTATTTTCTTTAGTTAGTTTATATACATACATGTATCATTAAATGGATTTCTAATAATTTATATCTGATGTTCAATAATTCTTGTTATTAACTAATGAACATAATCACGAGAACGTGCGTAAATACGTTTCCGAATAATGATGATTAAGTTGACAATCTGAGAACAAATGATGTATTGTATTCATGAATGTAAGTAACCGTAAACTCCGTGTCTGTAATATAATTACATTAGTGGGTTAATGTCCTTAGAATATTAAATATTCCTCAATTGTTTTCCTTCGTTATCAGAAAACATCACAAACAACAACAACGACAATGATGTACTGTATGTCATGCCTATATGAGCAATTATTACTGCTTTAATGGAAACATTTGTACTTAGATAACCTAAAGTTTACGTGTTTTAGAACAGGTTCCATGAAATATCTTTAAAATTAAACTTTGTTTCTTTTTTTCCTTTTTTTTGTTGTTTGATAAAATATTGAATATAAGAAAAACGATTTTGAATAAAAATAATTTTAAAATCATAAACTCTGGAAAACAAAAGAAATCCTTGATGATTTGTTGTATTTTCTACACTATGTTACACTTTAATGGATAAGGTAATACTATTTAGATTATTGCATGGTGGTTATATAACTGCAGTTTATTACAATGCTCTTGTTATTATATATACGCTCCAATACATGCGCATATATTGATGTTTTATATACAGACGGATATAATTGTACATTTTATTTCTAATATTATATCATTCTGGAAAAAATCGATCTTGGTCATCTTGAAAGCAACGTAACTGTAGAAAGTTTGTAATTTACATGATTACATTGTAAATCCAGGCAACGAGAAGAAGTTAATCAACATGTAAACCAAGTAAAAACGTACAAGACGGAGCGATATGTTTTATAGTAATCAAATTGAAAGAAATGAGCGCAGACGGCTGATATTTATGTCCTTATTAAAACCGTTGTTACTTCATAAATGTGCCTGAATCACATTTTATCTTCTTCGTATCTATATCATATGATACTATTAGTCCGTCAAATCATGAAATGTCTTGGGAAATACCGGAAATTAAAAAAAAAAGACAAAAAACAAAACAAAAAAAACAATACAATACGAAATGCGTTTTTAAGCAATTAATATCGGTGAAAAACAAAATCACCTTGAATACAATAGCCATATTTTTATTTTCTAGAAATATTGTAAACATAAAATGGCTTCATTGAATTTCAGGTCGATAGTGTACACATATATTTAAGACTTGATGTGTTTTTTTTTCTAATTAATCAAATTATATAATGAAATTAAATGGTAAACAATTAAACATTATGCCTCAGAAACTTGTAGATTTTTCTTTCGGTAGAAAGGGCAAACATGAGTTTTTAAATGTTAAATGCTTATCACTTGAAGAAAGTAGCGCTGCATGTGAAGTTATTTGTCATAAAAAATCAAAATGTTAACAAATTCGTATTTTGACTTCTATACAGATTTAAATATATTTAACACTATAACTAAACTATCGTAATTTGCAGACAGGAAAAGAAGGTTCAGTCATTCGGGCGATGAGTAAAGTCTTGAAATCTACTACAACCAGAAATATAATAAAACATTTGATGAAGGCAATAAAAATATTTAAAAAGGAAAAAAATTTGAATATATTTTCGTGTCATTTTTCAGCTAAAAATGTTAACCTTAGGAAAGAACTAATTATTAGTTACATATAAAACAGTATATAAATTCTCTACCTTGGTATCAATCCAATTATACGTCAAATTATAATCACGTAGAATTGCGCCATTGTTGTTCACATCATCTAGCGCCATCTGTAGAGCTGGTAAACATGACACGCCTCCACTCCAGCCATCCCCAGTCATGGGTAAAAGTCCCAACAACCGAAGCTCCTTGGCATATAAAGACAGAATACACGTAATCAGCGTCAGTAACAAGTAATAACTTCTTAACATGTTACCTACAAAATAAAAATACACGTCTTAACATTTTATCTACAAAATGAAAATACACATCTTAACATGTTATCTACCAAATGAATACACATATATTTCTAAAAACTTTTCTCAAAACATTTTTTATAGAAATCTGGAAACGAAGTGATCCTTTGGAAGCATTAAACACAACACAATTACAAAAGAATTGAAGACTCGGTTTGATTGAGTCTGCACATGAGGGATAATGAATGCGGGCAACATCTCTCACGCCCCCTAGCACCGACTTGATCGGTACTCAACATGAGTACAGTTTGTTTAGCCACGACGTTGTAAAACGAAACTTAATACGATGATAATAGCTTAAAATTGGCTGACAGAGGTATGTCAAATTGGAGTGTCATGAAATAATTCAAATATGCACCGAAACAATAGTATACAGTCTGTAGATGAATACTTTAATGTAAATCTTTATCAAACCTTTTAGTTATTACCTTTTACAAAACATTTTATTTGTTTCTCGTAAATGTCGCATATGTTCGTAACTCAATGCTCCAACTTTGCAGTGTCTTTAAAAGACCACAAGCTTCATACCTCGAACATGAGGTATGAGACCCCCAATATTTCTCTTAAAGAATATATGTTATAAAATTTTATATCATGAAAAATTTAAATTCATTATGTCATATAGATTTCAGTCTGGTTTTATGTATATATGTAACGGTAGCAAACGCTTTGGTTCACTCAGGCCTACCCTGACTATTATACTGCAACCGTCAATTATTCAAAAACATTGCGCTCAAATTTATTGTTTTTTCTTATTTTCTATTTCATAAAAATTTAAAAAGTAAACCAATTACTCTTATAAGATTATAGTTGGATTATAACACTGAGTGCCTAGTAAAATATGAAACAGTGTAAGTTCGGGCAAGACGCAAACACTAAAGAGTTAATGTTAAATTTCAATCTCAAATTTATTTATACATTGGGTATTAACATTGAAGTTCTATTGAAAGTCTAGTTATCACACATTTGAAAGATAACAAGAATTTAAAAAAGATAATAAATGTATCTTTTTATTTGTTATTATTATCATTTTTAAATCTAATGGAAATTGACGCACTCTGTTATGCCATGCTTATAAAACGTCGAAACTAGTAATCAGTTAATAAAATAATGCCTTTTATCATTAAGTACACTGATCCCACTAAAAACTCTTCTATTTCAGATCTGAATGTTTCCACATTCGTTTCAACATTGTGACAGGCAAATTTAAGTAAACACTGTGAAATATTTTGTCCCCAAAAATGCACTATTATATCCAAGATAAAACTATAACTCCGTTTTCATATATTTGAATAAATATATAGGTATTGATCTCACAAATGTCTTATCAAAAGTCTTGTTTCTTCTTTCTGAAATGTCCTCAGGCGACTAAATTTATAAACTATCTTTGACTGTTTGATGTTTTTCGATTAGCTCTACTCGCTTTGAAAGTGACTGTCTAATAATTGCGCTAGGAAGATCACTACGTTATAATATCTTAATTACACTGGTTTCTATGAGAATAACCGATATTAAGAAAGTTTAGCAGAATGACAAATACTTACACGCATGTACTTAAAATACTGACTTGACGAAAATAAATAAAATAGAAGAAAAAATATCTCTAGAACGACTTACCTGATTAGAAAATGTCACATTTGTTAGAATCACATGTTACTGTGAACATCGAGTAAACAAATCTGTCTCTCTCGTGTTCAATATAACAGCACGTGAGGGATAACCTTCAAAAGAGACTGCTTTATCTTTCCAATAGAGAAATATAACCCATTAATTATTGTAAGGATTATCAGATTTGTTATCATGTTCGTAGAGTCAAGAAAATTTGTTGTTGTTGATTTTTGTTTTGTTTGCTTTTCATTTTTTTCCAACGAAATTCAATAGAAATGCAGGAAGTAAATCATTAATTTCATTAACTAATCATGCGCGTAGTTAAAAAATATTAAGTGAAAAGTTAATAATGTTCCGACTGAAACCACCTTTAAATATGCATATAAAACTAATTATATGTTGATTTTCAAGAAAGAAAAAGTGGCGTAGTTTTGTAAACAATCTTAATAATTTGAATAATCAATAGGCTAACTTATATAAAAAAGTATATGAAATAAAATTTCACGTATTGAAAAACGTATCTGTGATATTTACAATCCAAACTTCCTTACTTATATAAAATCGTATCAGATATTCTTGAGAAACCTGTGATCAAGAGCTATTTATAGAAATGTAACATCCGTACGCGACATCGAATTGACCAATCCTACACGCTGTCTCTGCTCTAATAAGAAACGTTTATATATTTGTTTGCTATCAAAACACAGCAATTGTTCTAGTTTTCTATGAATTGTCAATTTTGTGTAACTATGTGAAAAACTACGGAAACGGAAAAAAAGACATTGAAAATTTTGTCCTTATCTTAATTTGATGGGTCAACATTGGAATAATTAAATGTACCCATTAAGTCATTCTCTGTTTGTGTTTAACGTATATGTGAAGTGTGAAACAGTAAGGTTATTCCACATATTCGATAAATTGTTTTCAAAGGTGAAAACATATTGTAAAAATTATTGAAATACGACTTTTGGGAATATTCTAACAATTTTTATGTGATCAACCGTTTTAAACTTACATGTTTGTTATGTTTACTTAACCCTCGGCTTACTAGACTTAAATATATTTACAGACAACATAAATGATGGTTTTCGTTCTTACTGCTAAAACATATTGATATATTTAATAGTTCCGTCGATTATTCTTACACGTGAAACTTCTAGGATTGTTGCACAAAGATTGGGACTCGAAACATTTTTCTTTGTATTATGAATTAAATTGAAGATACTTTATTTGTATAATATGACAGATACCCATACTTTATTTGTTTTCAGTATGATGATGTCGTAGCTTTCCTAGAAGCAGGTATTTTAGAAATACTCTCGAGAATACATGAGCATGAAATCAGAGTTTTTAATTAAATACGAGACAATAGAGTAGGCGTTGTCTGTTAATTCTGTATGAATAAACAAAATTTTAATGTAGATGTGGCACAATTGATATGAAAGGTTAATACATGTACTATCGTTGTAATATTGTTGCAATATCGTTTATACTGTACGTCCTTATACGGAACGTATGATTCCTTGATGTTTAGCTAATGTATGCGCAAATGGTATAAAATATTTTGTTCATTAAAGATATAATTAATGTTACAGATTAGACATAATAAGATCATTCTGTTACATAATTAAATCAAAAAGAAGTGACGGGAGAAAAGTTCATTATTTAACAAAATTATCTCACACATTTCATGGAAGGGATTATGGTTTTTAGCCAAAGAATATTAACTACTTACAGATATGTACGGCAATGGAGAGATTGGTTGAGCCTTTGAATCAAGTGTAATTTTCATCTAGACCTTAAGTAAATATTGTTATATTTATTATTTCTTAACTTGAAATGTGTCCATGGAACACTGATGTGCCCTCATGCCTAAACATAATGCCTTAGTTTTGTCTGTCAACGGATTGTCAGTGCATAAGCAAATATACATCTGATTCGGTAATTCTGCGTTTCCTTTGTTTTCGTATAAAGAAATCAGTTCCGACATTGTTTTTACGTGCTAGTGCGATTTATTTGATAGTTATGTTTTGATAATAAAAACACCGGTTCCATCATTGCAGAAAGCTGTTTTTATCATGAATATTAAAAAATACGTGCAACAACGCTCAATTTTATTTGTTAATCTATTTTCCATTACAGCTGTATACTAACAGAAAACGCTATTTATGCCGATATCAATATTTACAAAAGCAACCTTTTAGTTCAATCTGGTACTATACAAACTGTTGACACAGTCTATTAAATTACTGTGTATTGACCATTATATATTATTATTTGATATAAAGATCCATCGATAGTTTGTATATGAAACAGCATGAACATTATATGAATCTATATCTATCAATACATTTTGAAGTGTCTTCATAAACAATCATATTATAAGGGATAACTTTGTCCTCTTTTTCATGTAGCTAAATGTTAAATCATTCTATAAATATTGAACTGGACACACAAAATAATAGATACACATTATTATTGAATTATGTTTAATGCTTGTGGAAATATTACGTCAGTTTATTTACCAACAAAATAAGTTTGAAATCATCCTTTTATCTCATGTCAGTATTTGTCTTACTGACGGGCATTTTGATTGATTTATAATTACCGGGCTGCGTTTCATGGAGAGTCCTAAGTCTTAAGTCGGTCCTAAGATAAAAAATTGAGACAATTTTGCGTTTCAAAGAAAGTCTTAAAAAAGGTCCTAACTTATGATTCCTATATTTATGACCAACAACAGTTTTAAGTCTAGGAGTGTTTTAAAGATATCTTAAGATTTCCTAGTTCAGAACCACTCCAAAATCAAAGATGGTAGCGTTGATTATAGTTCTAAGAATATTACCTTTAATGAACAATATCTCGGTTTACATAGTTTTAAGAAATTACCTTTAATTTACAATACCTCGGTTTACATAGTTCTAAGAATATTACAAAATAAAATAGTTTTTCTGTTTTGAATATTCATTCTTTATTTTATCATTATGTTTCATTTACTATCTTTCATTTGTTTTTCGTTTATTGTTATATAATGATAATTTATAATGCATTACGAATGTTTCCTAATTTATGTCACTAACTTAAAGATTCTGAAACACATTTTTTATGGTTTAATTTCATAAATATGATGCTCAAATTAAGATGTGTCAATATTGTAAGTTCTAATAAGCATTATTTATAAAGATATTACCAAATTTAACATTTCATGTGAATAAAAGGAGGTTATTGAATCTTTTTTGTATAAATTCTAAGTCAATAAGAAATGAATGCAAATAATTTATTGATTACATATAATGTGCACAAATATTTACAAATATTTTACATATTCTTCGATGTTTGAAAATTGTTTTATTTGCATAATTATATACATATATAATTGTTTGTAAGTGTGGTAAACACACAGTAACAATATGAAATACAAAACATACAGAATCTTTAAGCCAGCTAGCCTGCGGGATGCTAGAATGCTACATAACGTATCTATTATTTCAGCAACCTTGATTTTAAACGGTTCTTTTAACATATTCGCTTGTAATGTCCTAAGAAGGTGATCTTTATTTTTGTATGTCTTATATATGTTAGTAGGTGTAGCTGTAGGCTACAATGTTGTCTACTTCAGGCTGACTGAATGTCTACTTCACGGACCTCGATATGATAATTAAAATATTATTGTCTTCCGGCTGCGATTTTTTTCTAAAAACCTTCAATCTTTAAAAATTAATACTCTGTTCAGTCTATTTTATTAATAGTCCGTTTACATCTTTGTATCGGAACGCCATTAGTACAAATTGTACATTTTCACCTCTGCAATAATGTAATTTCTGTTTAACATTAGCAGATTATAAAGACGATAAGAGAACCAGTCTCTGGAATTTCGAAGCTAAACAAATGTAAAACTATTCCCTTAGGAGTGCACTCCCCTTATTTATCATGAATTAACAATGAAAGTTAATTGGGAGAAAAAAATATATCCGTGACATATTTGACCGAATTATGCTGCATGAAAGTCTAAAGGTCGTTATTCTTAAATGATAAATATCAAGATTTCTGATAATTTCAAAACTGATAAATAAGTAATGTACTTATCGCGTTTCAACAACATATTTTCTTTCTTTCCTCTCGATGAGGAGTTAAAGCACAAAGCACATTGATGGTAATGAAGAAGTCAGTGGCTTCAATCATCTAGACATCGCTCTAAATTGAACAAACATTTCAATGAATGTTGTTCTATTTTCTACACATATCTACCTTTCAAAAGTAACACATTTTATTTGTAGAAAGAATAGGTTTGATTTTTTTATGAAGACGTTTAACGTGAATTTTTTTTATTGATGTACGTCAAACATTTGCCCATATCTATATACATATTTTTGCCAAGAATGAGTTCTGATGTGAGCTAGAAAAATGGTCAAAAACAGTAAGATACTAGGAACTCTTGTTGTTCACCTGCTCTGTGAGAACCCATACCATGTATGGTGTATTTTATTACTACTCCTATTAAGATATAACGATTTATTGTATACGTAGGAAAGTCTAAGTTATGTAGTGTTATAACCATTCTTACCACTTCCCTGTTTCAGCACATCCAATAAGTAAACATATAATCCCAAGCGTACTTTAGAATAAGTTAAGCGGAATTACATTATTAATTGAGTATGAAATAGATCAAACACATATTTAATCTATATTTCTTCGATTTCATGTGCAATATAAGTTATCACTAAAGGTTAATTAACATTAACATTTTTAGCCAATGTAATAGTTCGTCGGTAGTTAAAAAAATAACTGCTCTTGATCATGGAGATGTCTACTTCGTACTGTTAAAGCGTTTTTAATCTCTGCGTTATCATTACCATATTTGGACATAGCATTATAGCGGGAAGTTATGTCACCCAGTAAAAGTGTCAGTAAGTTCTAAGCCGTTTCTTTTGTAAAAAAATATTAACATGTTCCAACTGTTAAATAATATCAACAAAAAACAATGAAATATATTTTCTGTTTAAATTTTCGTTTCCTTATTCACATAAGTATTCATGCTTTTGCTTCATCAATGTGGTCGCAATCCGTCCGTTGTCAACTTTTCGTTCCAACTACGTATCCTCTGAATCCAAATAGTCAAATTTAATGAAGCTTGCTCACGATGTTACTAGAATACTTACCTCTATCAAAATTATTCAAATGTTCTTGCTCTATTAAGTAATAGAAACTTACAAAAATCTTCTTTTTGAAACCTGATATACAAGACCTTAGATAGATAGTACCAAACATTATCAAATTATCGGGTAAAAATGGCCCAGACCTTGAATCACTTGAGCTTTAAAAAGTTATGTCGAACCAAATGCGTGGAGCGTAGATATTTGCTGTAAAGCATTCTTGTATGGGTTTCACCAGGTTTGTTTATGAAACATCATATAACTCTTTGGCTAAACTCATTACAGGGGTTAGGTTAACCCTAGATTCAGGAAAAGGAGTCTCAGTTGTTTGACCCTTTGTTATACGTGTATTTGTGTATAACAATTGTGTCATATATATTATGAGTAACAAAGTTTGTTTTTGAACAAAATCAAATTTACTTTAAGCCTAACTTTCTTGTAATGATATAAACTTTTAAAATTTTAATTGTTTTATTGTAATTTAAACCAATATTTCCTTATAATCCTTATTGTTTCTGAAAACTCGACAGAATAACAGTTATGGTTGAATAAGTTCTACAAAAGAATGTACATAAGCATGATGT